GTCCAACCCAGGCCGCAGGGGTCTTCCCGACCACCAGAAGCCCCTCTGCTCTCTGAATGGGCACTTGCCTTTGCAACCAGCCCGCCTGATCTGAGCCCTGCAACCTGCCCGCCACCCTGCCCCCGGGTTTCTCTGCCCGGGGTTGTCCCTGCCCCAGCTGCACTTGGCACTCCTGCTCCTCCAACCTCAGCAACCTGGAAGGACCCTTTATTCGAAGGACCCCCCACGAAGGGCCGCCACTTCGTCAGGATCTCCCGGGTGGGGGGCCCCAGCCCATTTCCCACCCGGGGCGCCCCAAGCAGCACCTTGGGGTCCTTCTCGTAGTAGTGCTGCTGCGTGCGGATCCAGCGACCCACGAGGTGGTCGCGCACGGTGTGGGCCAGCGCAAAGTAGTAGTCCCTCGGGGTGGCCACATTGCGGTCCTTCACGAGTGTGAAATGGAGGTGCCGGTTGAAGTTCTTCTTGAGGTCGGTCACATTCTCCACGCCAGCCAGGCCACGCACGCTGATTTGCTTTCTCTTCTCCTGGTCTGACAGGGGCCGGGACATGGCTGCGGAGGGCAGGCCTGAGTGATGGGTGGACAAGCAGCCTCGAGCAGTGCCTCCAGCCAGGGAGTGGAGATTCCCCCCCTGGCTGCCTGGGGTTTTAAAGCCTGGCTCCGGGCGGCTTGCCCCGCCTCCCCCTGCAATGGGAGGGTCTTGGCCTGGCAGCTCAGGGAGCTATTTTGGGGGCAAAGGAGGAGGGGGAGAGGGGAGAGGGGCAGGGAGAGCAGGCCCAGCCTGGCTCATTCACAGCCTGGGGCTGACCCACTTCCTCCAGGCCTCGCGCACTGGGGTCTTCTGTGCCTGCCTCAGAGACAAGATGCCGCAGGTCGAGCGCTGCCTGAGAGGCCTGAGGCTTCACTGGAGCTCAGGGGCTGTGCCTTTGGCGAAGAGGTTGCCCTGATCCGGGCCCTTTCCCTGGGGGTTGTGGATGAAGGGTGGGGCCAGATTTTGGCCTCGTTCAGGGCTCCTGGAGAAGCCAAGGAGGGCTGTCGGGGGGCAGGTGTCAGGAGGCTCAGCCTTCATCAGAGCAGCTGGGCTTCTGTTTTAGACATTTGCCCAAAGACCACCAACCACCAGCTGGAAGACCTCTGGTCAAGCTTCCATGGTGGCCCTCCCCGGGGACGGGGCAGGGGGCTGGGCCTAGGTGGGGAGGTCATATGCTGTGGCAACAGGGGCCAGGACACCCCCATGCAGGCTTAAGGGCCAGGAGCCGAGGGTCAGCTGAACAGAAGAGGTGTAGCCAACAAAGGACACTGGGTGCCCGAGAAAAGGGGGACCAGGACTCTGGGTTCCAGGGGGTGGTATGGAGGAAGGAGGTCGCCTGAGGCAGGGCTACTGCCCCCCCCCCAAAGCTGAGCCACCCTGAGTTCCCCCTGTTGCTGTCCTTCAAGGAGCTCTGAAGTGACCTTTTGAGAGGGATGGTGGTCAGATTACAGGCCAGCTTTGGCTAGGGACTGCCAGCCCAGAGCAGGGGCCTCTGGGAACTGTAGTCCTGGGCCCACAGTGGTGGAATAGACAAGCATCCCCCACCGACTCATAGTACTGGCCAGTGGTATTAGGTCTCCCTGTGACACAGCTGCCAGGTGACTGGAGCCCTCCTCCCCTTTGTTCCTCCCACCCGGGCCACGTACGGGACCGGAATTCAGTGGGCCCAGGGATCACAGCTGTGACCTTACCCGTAAACTGGGAGCCTCTGCACCCAGAGCTGGACACCACTCACTCGTCTTCACGGCTGGGCAGCTACGGGACTGTCCCCAATCCACTGCTCATGCCCTGGCCCCAGCACTGATTGCTGTGCGACCTTTAGCTGGTTGCTTTACTTTTCTGAGCCGTTGAATTCCTTCATCCAGTTTATACTCTCAAATGAGAATATAAATTCCTGCCTCCTCCAGCTGCTGCCTCCTACTCTTGTGGAGGCAACTTTGGATCCTGCTTTGTTCTTTGAGCAAAAGGAGCCCAGGGCTTTGTGCTATTTCAAAGGATGCCTGGGCCTCCCAGGGCAGTGGGCTGGTAGAAGAGGGGCTGGGTGTTCTGGTCTGAGGGCCAAGGAAGCAGGTCAGAGGCCTGGACCAGCTGCAGGGTGCTACTAAGAGCCTGGTTTGGGGGAAGGCTGAGCTGTCTTCGAGGACATTCTGAGCCACGGCAGACCCAGGCCTGGAGGTACAAGCTTAGCGTGGGGTCTAAACTCCGAGTCTTCCAATTCCCGAGCCCTGCTCTCCCCTGCCCCCAAACAGCATTACGGTGTTGATCTCCCATAGCTGCCATGCTTCAAAGTGAGAAAAAAGATCAGGAAACACCCAAATGTGCCTACAGATGTAGTGGGAATATAGAAAACTTCCTTACACTTCACGGTATTTTCCAGTTTCTCCTTTTGGTCTTTTGTATGCTCTAGTTCAATAGGGTGCTTGGTGGCTCCGTGGTCTCTTCTGAGCCCCCATCCCCAAGGCTCCCCGCCAGGGCTGTGCCTCTGCAGGGGTCACCCACCCTCCAAGAACCTGGTCTCCAGCCTCGGCTCGCATCTGGGGCTGCTGGGCCCGGGCTTGCTCTCAAGAGGCTGCTCTGAGTCAAGCTCAGAAGGCTCCTTGGTGCTTAGTGCTCCCTGGAGAAAGCCACCCGTTATCTGTGCTGTCACCTCACACCCCTGTTGTGGCAGCGTCCTGGCCACACAGCTCTTCTACTGACCCCTAGTTGCCTACCAGTTTCTTTTCCTGCCACTAAGGACCTGCTCCCAAACCATTCCCAAATTCTCCTACTCCCCAGTTGAATCCAGTGCTCTTCCAGCCGACTGGTTCTGATGCCCCGCTCTGCATCAGCGCTGTGCTCGCCCTTCTTCGGGGCTCAAGGCACTTGCTCAACTGGGACTTGGCCTGTTTCTACTAGGAAACAAATTCCTTTTTTAAAGTAGGCTCCGTGCCCAACGTGGGGCTTGAACTCACAACCCTGAGATCCAGAGTCCCACGCTCTACCGACTGAGCCAGCCAGGCACCCAGAAATTACTTTTGATTTCTCCACCTTCCTTCCTCGTGGGTCCCTTCTATCTTTGTTGTCTGTGCCCCCCCCAAACTGTTTCCAGGCTTTGTCCAGGGGTGACCCCACCCTGGGGCCCCTCCGTTTATTTTGCAAGCCCCAGCCCAGCATGAGACCTTGAAGGCTCAAACTGACCCACTTCGTGTCCTAATGTCCTCTGCAATTCCTCACTCCCCCGTGCTGCGGGTGCAGATCAAGCTGGAACCCTGGAAGCACTTAATCAACTTGAATAACCCAAGGTTGTTTATGTCTTACTAGGTTTCTAACCAGAAATCCTGCCTCCTTTTCAGACCAATCTTGGGTTTCTCCAGAGCCCTAAGGCTGACCTTTCCCAACTGGTATTCCTTTCACCAACCCAGCTGGGAGGGGGGGGGCGGTACAGACAGGAACAGACCTGGTGGAGCTAAGGTTTTTTCCTCCACCCGAGGTGGTCCGAAGGTGGGTGGGAAAGCATTTCTCCTCTCTGCCCACTCTGCCACAAAGGCAGGTGCTCCCTGCACTTCTGAGGGCCAAGCCTTCCTGCTGTCTTCCATCTCAAGGTCTGGAGCTCCTTGGAGAAAGGCCTGAGCCCGATGCCTTAGCCAGCCACTTTGTTCCTCTCCAAAACCTTAACAAAAGCTGACAGCAGGGAGCCGGGAGGGAGCTAGCACAGGAATGGAGCTGGCCCCAGGGGGGGGGGGGGGGGGGAGACGGAGGAGATAGCTAGGCTGCGGTTAAGTCATTTATTGATTTTATTTCTAAAACCCACATAGCGCCACTTTGCCTCTTCCAGAGCTTCAAAGAGCTAATTAACCGCCCAATGAGCCCACCAGGGAAACCAACCTTGTGGGGGAAGCAATGAGGTGAAGCCAAGGTCAAAGAGGGTTGCTAGGCCCCAAGCCCTGCCCCCATTCTGTCAGTTAAGGACAGAAAAAAGATCATTCTCTCCTTTTAGTCAAGTGAAGTTTCAGTCTTGGTTAAGGAAACCCACTAAACTTGCCTTGCTTCCGAGGCTTTGTTAACTCTACTGGCCTATAGCCAAGTAGTCCAGACATCCCGGACAGGGGGCCCACACAACCCGCTTCTGCTCCAAAGAGCTGTGGTCAGATCCAACTTGAAGGTAGAAAGCAGCCCAGGCCAGAGGTGTCCCCACTGCCAGGTGCGGGGGGCAGCAGAAGAGTGCTGTCCCTTAACCTCCCCGAAGGAAGGAAAGGCAATCAGGGAAGGGCAGGCTCAGCACGGCAACAGCTGGGTAAGGACCTCATGCCTTGTGGAGCCCTGACGTGGATTCTCCGGGTGCCACAACCAGCACTGCCCACTGCCCCAGATGTGAAAGAACAAGACAACCTGAGACCCCCGCTGCGAAGTGCTTACAAAGCACAAGACAGGGCATTTTTTTTTTTTGCCCCCAGCCATCCCCAAAGCCTGCAGTGCCGGCAGGCTGCAAGTCACCAGCAGAGAAAGAAAAAGCCACTTGGCGGTTTTAATTTTAGCTGCTCTGTGCCTCACAGGCAGGATTAGTTAGCTTGACCTTTCGTGCTGATGCCTCCCTAGGCCCAGGGCCTTCCGTCAGGTGGTAGCTTCCAGGCAGAGATCGCAACCAGAGCTCAGCAAATATCGGGGTCCAAGCCCCAGGGAAAGGCCTTCAAAACAACAGGGACCAGGGGATTGAGGGGTGATGGGGGTGGGTGGTGGTGGTGAAGAACCTGGTTCTCAGCTGTGAACCAGTAAACAAGGGGAAGATGGTGGGACCACCCACATACTCAGCTTCCACCAGCAAAGCCACACATAGGGATGCAGGCAGGAGGCTCCCTAATGAAGGTCCCAGGGGTTCCCCAGAGAGAATGGGATGGCTGGGGCCAAGTGCTGAACGTGGGCAGGTGAGGTAACTCTGGAGCTGCTGCTAAGGGTACAGGGGGTTTGATGAGAAAAGAAAAATGAAGAAACAGACCCAGAAAACCACACTGCTCTTTTATTCAATGGAACATCCCCCTTTTAACGCAGTGTTGAATCATACACCGAAAAAAAAGCCCAGAGAAATTTCTGCAGATAAACCAGTGAAGAGAACGCGCATTATACATTATTGTCAACATAATCACTCCATGAAGAGGGAAGGGGAGAAAAAAGTAGAATGAAAAACAAGGGGCTTAAACCCCTAGACACTGCAAAACATTCAGACGTTTGGGATTAAAATAAAATTTGAAAGGAAACCTTCCAGGAAGGAGAGGAACAAATGGAATCTGAGGCAGCTCAGGTGCTCAGGGAGCAAGGAAAGGACTCTCCAGGGTGGCAGACAAGACCAAGGTAGCTTGGGTGGCCCCACCTACCACTGGCAGGGGTGCCAGGATGGGTGTCGGCCCGGAATCTGGAAATTAACCCACTACTACTCTACCAAGGTGGCAAAAACAAATGTCACACTACAAAAAAACAAACAACAAAACTGGGGTGGTCATGGCAACCTTGAAAATCTTAGAACCAAAAGTAACCCCCCCTTCCAAATAGCCTGACATTAATGGCCAAAGTTTGCGCCTAAAACCATTTGCTCCCTCCTCTCCTTGGGAAGCGAAGAACAAGGAATGGAGAAAAAGGAAAGGAATCTAATTGCAGCAGAAGATCGGGGAAGAGCATCTCCTTGGACGGAGTCTGAAGAAAGGAAGAGATACGGAAATAACAAAGGAAAAAGAAAAAATTAATAAAAATTTCACGATATGGAGCCAGCGTGTTCCGATTCCGTCCACAAAAATAACTCAGGCTGCTTTGCCGAACCATCCTGTCCACCAGGGGCGCTGCTGAGGCTGTCTGCCTGGAAGGGTCACCAATGGGCGCGGAAAGTCCTCACTCTCATGGCTCGGGCCATCGCCGCCGCGGGGAGGGATCCTGGCGGCCCGGTTTGGGGAGAGGCAAAGGGAGTTGGGTGAGGAGAGAAAGAAGACAAAGAAGACACTCGATGCTACGGGGCGCCAGGAGAGCCCAAGCTGGCGCCCCTACTATCGCCTGCCCGTTCCCAAGCGAGTCCTCAGTCGCTTGGCCCAGCCCGGTGCGTGCACACACACACATGCGTGCACACAAATCACATGCGTGCATCCCAATGTCTGGCTCCATATGGTGAGGTTCGGCGTGTGTTTAAACGAGACCAATTCTCTCTCTCTATAATATATATTTTCTTAAAAAAAACCGAGTCTAGTTCTGTGGTGGAGGCGGTGGGGGAGCTGGAGGCATCCCGAAGGGCGGCATGCCCGCCACCCCCATGCCCATCATGGTGACAAAGTTAGAAGGGTCCATGGGAGGCGGAGGAGGAGGGGGCGGGGCATACATCATGCCGGCGGAACCAGGCGGCGGAGGCGGCGGAGGGGGAGGGGCCCCGGGCGGCAGAGGCGGCTGGACCCCGGGGGGCAGGGGCACCATAGTGGGGTTGCCTTGCATCTGAGGGGCTCCTGGAGAAGCTGCGGCAGCCGCCTGCTGCTGTTGCCATGGCGGGATGGACCCTGTGCCAGCGCTCGTGGTGGTAGTCGTCGTATCTGGGGTGGTAAAGAAGCCCAAGGTCACACGCGCGGGGGCACACCGCGGCTCTCTGCGGCTGCTGCCTTGGGATGGGGGGGCGAGGGGCGCCTGCTCCTTGCTTGGCATGCGGTACGGTGGTGGGGGGCGGGCGGGCGGGGCTGTCCTGGCGATGGGGAGTGGAGGGGTGGGCAGGACTACCCTGGGGTCAGCCTCGAGGTCTCTGGGCTTAGCAGAGCAAGCCCTTTGTCACCAGTGCCCCTAGAAGGGCTGAGGGGAAAGTACCAGACACAAGAACCGGCTCTGACATCCCTCCGCCCATCCGCCGCCACCACCGAACGGCACATTCAACCTCAAGGCCACAGCTACTCTCCCCACAGCCCGGTCCCAGCCCTGCCGTCTCTCAGGCCCCAATCACGTCCCTGTGCGCAGCATGCAAGCACCCTCCCCACCCCAGCCTTACACACAGGCTCGGGCCAGCCAGCAGCCGGCAGCTCTCGCAGCCCAGCCCAGCCCGTGACAGCCTGGATTTCTGGCACCCTACCTACGATGGCAGGTTCCCTCCAGGTCCCCCAAAACCGCTCCCCAGACACAACCACGCCAAACATCAGCTCTCTTCCCCAAGACCCCCAGGGGCCACGAGGCCCTTTCTGCTTACACCCCCAGCAGAGAACGGCGTCTCCTCCCTGGCTGTCTGCCTGCCTCCGTGAGCCCCACCTCCCCATCCCACCCACCCCCACAAGCCCCAAATAGTCCACTCACTTTGCTGCCATGGCAAGGGGGTACTGGAAGCCATACTGCTGCTGGGCGGAGGGGGTGGCGGAGGCTGCTGCTGCTGCTGCTGCCATGGGGGAAGAGGGCCAGAGGGAGGGGGCGGGGGCTGCCCACTGGGCGGCGGCGGCGGCGGCGGCATCATGCCCATAGGCGGCGGCGGCATCATACCTGCAGGAAGGCGGACGCGAGGATGAGGCCTCAGGGGAGGAGAGGGGCTCGGGACGGAGACCCTACTCCCAGGCCCAGGGCATACCCCAGAGTAAGCAGATGACGGGCCGCATTACCTTTTCCTTGATGCAGGCGATAGACCCCAGAGCCCACAGGCGTACTTCCCAGGTACTGATCTTGATGGAAGGAAAGAGCAGGGACTTAGCAGGACATTGGAACTGGCCAGGGAAGATGCCCCCACCGACAGCTTATTTGGTTCACACAGCTCGCAACCACTACCCTTGTAAGAACCATTCTGTCGGGCGCCTGGGTGGCTCAGTTGGTTGGGTGACTGCCTTCGGCTCGGGTCATGATCCCGGGATCCCGGAGTTCCGGGATCGAGTCCCACATCGGGCTCCCTTGCTCAGCAGGGAGTCTGCTGTTCCCTCTGACCCTCTTCCCTCTCGTGCTATCTCTCATTCTCTCTCTCTCAAATAAATAAATAAAAATCTTAAAAAAAAAAAAAAAAAGAACCGTTCTATCAAAAGCTCATGATTTAATGTATGGTGATTAACATAACAATAAAAAAATTTAAAGAAAAAAAAAAAGAACCGTTCTGCAATCTGGAACCTGGAACCTTGCCTTTAAGATGTAGGTCTGTGTCTACCCCACACACAAACCACTTCCTAAACCAGGATGAAGTCTTGCTCCTTCTGGAGCCCCAGCCTTGGCAGGAGACCCAATGCAATACCCAGCCACTTTTGAGAGCTGCTTCTGGTTCGCAGCAACCTGACGTCACCCTTGCTTATCCCAAAGCCCCAAGGTTTCTGGTCTGACACTTACTTACCCATTGGAGGAGGGCCATGATGCCCAGGTGGGTGGGGGCCCTGGTTCATCGGTGGTGGTGGCGGCTGCATCCAAGGGGGTGGGGGTCCGTTAGGGTTGTGCTGCATGGGATGTCCACCATGCCCACCTGTCAGGCTGGGTAATGGGTGTGGGAAGCTGTGGGGGCCACCTCCAGGCCCACCAGGACCACCTCCATGCATGCCATGGTAGGGCCGACTCTCTGAAGGGCCAGAATTCATCCAAGGTGGGCGGCTCTGGGTGGTAGACATGAGAGACTATGTGAGAGCATTTCCCGCCAACGTCCCCGCCTGCTCCCCCTGGTGGCAACACTGTTCTTTCGGCTATGCCAAGAGGACCAGAAAACACAGGAGGACAGGACCTTCCTCAAGTGAAAGATCCCCAAACATCCTGACACCCGGAAGAACAATGTTGCCAGCCATGTCTGTCAACGTGCTCTACCCCAAGCACCTGGTCACAGCCCTCAGTCTCTGAGGAAGAGAATGGGGGCGGCCAGACCACAAGAACCAGCCCCTGAAACTCACCGGTGGAGGTGGGTTGTTGGCGGGAGCAGCAGGTCGAGGTGCACTGGCCAGGGGCGTGGTGGCGGGCCCAGAGGTGGAGCCCACAGATGCCGGCACCGGTGCTTCGCCCAGTTCAGCCATAAGAGACAAATATTCTTTATCCATCCGTGCTTTATCCTGAGCTGACTGGGGGTCACCAGGCCTGAAGACAGGATAAGGAACACAGAGAAAGAAAGAAAGAGAGAGAGAAGAGAGAAAAAAATTCATTAAGAAGTAAAGTTCTATCCTGTAGAAGAACTGACTTGAGAGTTTTTTGAGGAAACCAATCATCCTTTCTAACCGTTCCTCAAAATAGTCTCATCAAGTCCTCAGTTCTGTGCCCAGCTCTGCATCTGGGAGACCACGTGGATTTCTGCCACAACAGAAAAGATCGAGAGCACCCAGCCAGCCACACGAGCCAGGAAAGCACAGGCTCTTCCAAAGAGCAAACCTTCATCAAATCCTACATTCCCAGTTTGAGGGAAGGAAGGCCTATGCAAGACTAGAGCACCTGCCAGGTTTTCCAAAGGAGAACAAAGTAGAAAAATGTTGCTATCAAGTGCTGGTTCAAAACTGGTCAAAAATCCAGATGGCTTCTGAAACCGACCCTAAGCAGCAAAAAGTAGTTAATACTGAGCCACAGTGGAAACATTTACACTCAGGATGGAAATTTCTAGTTTTCCTGAATTGAAGATGAGGCACAAAATACTGGCGTTCGCACAAGCTGCTTCTCATCATCCCAGGCTTTAACATCACATCAATACAGACCACATTCACAGAAAGGAAGCTTCTCTAGAGTCCAAAGGTTAACAGCAACCAACCAACACACTCAAGAAATGTCTTGAACACCGCGGCTACAAAGAAGTCATAATCCCAGGCCCTCACCTTTGGAATTTGCAATCGGAAGCAATGTGTCCAGCCCCACCACACTTGGTACACACTGTGGTATTGGTAATGCTGCGTGTCTCTGAGCTCTGCCAGGGTCTTAAGATCCTGTCGAGGAACAAGGGGGGGGAAAAAAAAAGTCACGTCAAGGGCTACGGCCAAGCTTCCTACTTCCACAGGTTCTTCAGCTTTGCACACTTTCCACTCTAAACTGATCACAGACCTGTTATCATCTTCCCGAAGGGTCCCATTCAAGCGAGCCAACTCCCGAAGCTGCATCTTCCGTAGATCATTCTGGTCCTCAGGGGTCTCAATACCCTGCTTCAGGATGTTTCTTATCTAGTGGAGATGCAAGGGGCACAGTTACATAAAGCGCTGGGGCCACCACTAGATTTCTAGCAAGAAGCTTCCTTTCTGGCTGCCTCACCTGTTCCACAGCTTTCTTCACATTCTCCATGGTGTTGGCGGTAACTAGGGCATGAAGTGGCTCATCCTCTCCAGGGAGCATCTGGCCATCTTTGCGGCCAACTTTCCCTTCTTTAACAGACCCTTTCCCCCGGATCATAATCTTGGCATTACATTCCTTCTCTATGTTCTTCAAGGTGTTCCCTCTATCAGGGGCAGAAAAAGTTGAATTGTTAGATTTGATAGGCAAGTTCCCGTGCCAGAGGGGACAGAGTGGGCAGATCACACCGGCAGGAAACCATGAGTGCAGGAGTTGGATTTTCCCACCAAGAGCTCCATGATCTCTTTTGAGTTAAGGGCAGCCACACCAAATCCACAAGATTTGAGTTCTCTGCAGTAAAATGGGGTTGAAGAGATTTTCTCACAGAAAAGTGTGAACTCCCACCAAAAACAGGAAGGGAAGCCATCAATGGCACCCAGCTGGGCCTCAGACCCACACAGCTCACGGTTTCGGAACACTCCTGTAGCCCACAGGGTAGCAGTTACTCACCTGGGCCCAATCAGCAGACCCACAAAGTTGATTTCTGGATACTCGTCTTGTGGAATCATTACTTTATCGCTCACGCGCGTTGCTGGAGGTCTAAAAAAGAAAAGACTCATAGACTCTGCATGTTTCTGAACAGGACACAACCCACAGCTTTTAGAACTAACCCTGCTACCATGTCCATGTATTAACTATACACGATTTCAGGACAAGAGGTATGACGTTAGTACCAAAATAGTTCCACCAGATCACACATGATCTGTACGTGTCCTTGGCCTGGACAACCTAGCCCCTCTGCTTACTTGTAATCTGCAGGTGGCTTGAAATCAGGGTTGAGGGCAACCATCTCCGTGATGAGGTTATGCCGCTCCTCTTCAAGCTTTTTGCGTGTGCGGAACTCGCGGGTGTTAAGCCGCTTCCCCTCGCTATTGTAGATGGGCTCAGGGGAAGGGGACCTGTGGGAAACAGATCACCGTTACTGCTCTGCCTTCACTCTTCTCATCCCACATGGGCTAAAATTAGTCTTCCCCAGCCCCTCTGCCTCTCAGACCCTAACACAACACTCTTCGGAGGAACCGACCATAACGTGTGCTACTCAAGATCGTGTGGAATGGGGAGATGAAAGCTGGCTTAGCATTAGGGGGACTGGGGTGTGTGTGAGAAAGAAAAAAAAGGTCTTGCTTCTAAGTGTTGAGAAGAAAAAAGTCTGTCCTTCTGGGGGAAAATCTTTGGACTGTAAATGGCAAGGACAGTATCATCCTCTGGAGTCTTCTTGCCAAATATGGATTTTTCATTTTAAAAAACTGTACATTATTACAACTTTATGAACCACGGAAACCCAAGAGTTTAGGTAAAATGTGAACTCTTGCAGAGCTCGTGCCCTATCAGGAAGAGTGTCTGCACCCCTGCCACATAGTATGAGCTCTTTAACCCAATGCAACTGGGACTCAAGGCTGCTGCAGCTACTTGGCCCCACAATGGAGAGAGATGGTTCAAGGCTTCGTCTCTGCTTTTCCTTCAATGGCCTGGCTGGCTGTGTCCAAGGCCCAGGAGTCAACCTGTTTTCTGGCTGTTCGAGGTTGGGGAGTCTGGGTAGAGAAAAACGTTAACGTGCTAAAGCAGCTTCTGCTAGAGGCTGCAAATGCAGATTTGGTCAAGTACTTGTCTAGGGTCTGGACCTGCAAACGGCAAGGGGAAAACCTAGGATTCTCCACCAGAGTTTACAAGTCCAGAAAGCAGATTTTCTCTCTCTCATTTTTTTAAGGAGTAAAATGCTGTTGCTACAAGTAAAAAATAGTAATGATAAAATGGTCAGTTTACCACAGCTGGATTTTGCGGTAATAAAAAAAGAGAAGTTACACTCCTAGAATTCTGAGTTGAGATTACAAAAAGGACCATAGCTTGATATTCTGAATGAAAATTTAGTAGCAGCTGCAAGAAGGGAAGAGACCATGTGGATCAGGTTATTAAAAAAACATCCTGAAAGTAGTCAAGACTCCTATACCCTTGGTTTAGTTGAGAGAACCTTGCCTAGTTGGAGAGCAAGGACTGAACTCGGCTGCTCCCACTGTCTTCAGCCTAAAGGGAACCATGTCATACCACGTTACACACACGATGGAATAAAAGGTCAGGTTTGTTCATGGCTAATGACGGCTAAATGACACCTCCGTTTCTAGCGTTTATATAAACTGTTAACACAATCCAATAATAATGAACAAAAGCAAACATACCCCAGCTCATTAGACTATCATCTTATACATTTAAGTCTACAAGAGATTTTTAAAACATTTTTAAGTGTGCAACTTAAGCAACATCAAAATAGCATAGTGGCTTAATATTGAGAATACACCTTCTTAGGAAATAACCTCAGTAAGGTAAGAAACTCATGCAGTTCCCTCCAACCTGGGCTCAAAAGCAAAACCAGTCAGGCATTAGGCCCTCTTTCAAACTGAATACAAGGGAGGAAAAAACTGCTCTGGTTTTATTTCTAACGTGCTTGACGTTTCTAATTCCCACCCCGTAGCTGTCTAGAATTAAGCGTTTCTGGCTAATCAACAAAACAAGGTTTACCAGTACCAAATTGGTCATTTAAAAGCCTCACAACAGTTTAATCTCTTCCCAAACTGTGGATGTGAAAAGGCAAAAGCTAATATTCTAGAGATTAGACTGGCCCAACTTCTTCACTTCAAAGAGGCATCGTATAAATCAACTAAATTCTAATCCCATTTCTCCAGGAAGCAAAGGTTTGTTAAAAATTCAACCTTTTGAGGAATTGCCTGGTAACCTGTTAGACGTATTATCAAAGGGAAAAAGGCCAAAAAAGCACTCAACAGTTGTGGTCTACAACCTACAATGCAAATCTTTAAAAAAAAAAAAATATATATATATATATGTATATATAAAACACAACACAACCCTCCAACCAAAATCTGCAGGTAAAAAAATAATAAATTTCATTAAGTAAAATTAAAGAGCCCATGTGGAGAGATTAAGTTAATTTGTTCCCTGGCAAAGGGCAGCAGAAAGATGCGTAAGTGAGTGGCTTCTAAAATCATTACATCATCTTCCTGATTTAACAAGTCATTAATTGGGTAATAAAAGCTAAAAACACTACTTTTTAAAGTGAAGTGTTTTCAACTATGCCGCATGCACTAAGAGCAATTTCACGGAGAGGGAGGCATACTGCCCTTCTATTAAATGGACCAGATTTAGCTGTTCAAAGTTCAACCAGCCAATAAAATTCCTGGTTAAAAAGTTCATTTCCCTCAGACTTTTTACTTTTCAAAGGTGAGAGAAATTGTAAACTGAAAGGACATGACCACAGGTGTTTGAAGACCACACTCTTAAAAAATAAAGGTGACTTAGGGTTGGTTGCTAGCCTTCCCAAAACAGGCGAGAATATTCTGGCCCCTCCCAATAACCCCAGGCAATGGCCAAGGCGGAAAATTCACTGGCAGTGAAGGAAGCTGGTTAGAAATCTCATCTATTTTAAAACCATCTCAAAACCATGAGCAGGAAGACTGCAGCAATGAGCTAACCAGACTGAGCTTCTGGTCTGCTCAAATTCAGTGATGCTCAAAAATATTCTTAATCCCTGCACCGTGTACCTGTGAGAAAAGCTCTACACCCTCGGCTTTCAACCAAAGCAGTTACTGAAAGGCTGGTTAACGGGCCACCTCACTGTCCCTACGGGTGGGTAAATCAGGTTAAAATCTACGTGCTTACCAATTGGAAACCAGATGTCCATTTTCCCGTAACTTTTTATTCTGCTAGTAATTAAGTTTCATTCCAATTTTCTAACTGACGACGACTGACCATATGGATTGCTAATTAAACCCTAGGCCCCAAAATGGTCAGAGTATTATCACAGTCGTCTTACTAGGATTTCATTGAACTGACACAATATGTTGCCACCAGTAAAACGTATTGAGAAAAAGGTAAAAGCGTTACTGTCAGCTGGTTAAAACTGTTTCCCAACCTGTCCTCAGGGTTAGGGGGGATGCCCAGGTCTCCTGTGCGCAGTTTACGAGTCAGGTCTTCTATCTGCAGTTGCACTGGAAGAAACCAGGTTAGGAAAGAAAAAAAAAGGATGGAAAAAAGACAATGTTACCAAAAAACATCTCAAATCTCAACAACAAGCATGAAGAACTCGGAGACTTTGAAAGGGACGATTGATCAGTGAACACATTGAGGCAAAAACCCCCAACCACCTATCGGCAGGAGTCCATTTACATCTATAGGTATTTTTCACTTCAAAATGGTTATCACTTAAGGAAGCAAACAGTTTGTTGGAAGAGGGGTTAGCAGTAAGACTGTTCACTAAGGCTAACATCAAAGCAATTATTAGGTGTTTCACCTCTCCCTCCCCTCCAAGGCTTGCTATACAATTGGCACCCAGAACAAACCATGTTATGTTATCACCAATACCCTGTTCCCAACCAAATTACTTCGAGGGCAAGACTCTTGAGAGTTTATTTTTCTTCATTAAATATTAAGCATAGCCCAAAATGAAATCCAATTAACATGGGACAAGGAAAAATACCAGTTGAGCAAAGATCATTTTCATTGATACCAGGTTCAAAATTCCTTCAACATGTAAGACATTTAATAACCAATTCAACACCTCATAAAAAGCCCATTATACATACTCAACCAGATCCGTACTAATAAGGATCTCCCAATACCTGTTGCTTTTATTCAAGTCTTAGGTAACAATCCATATACCTTAATCAACCAGTAACCAATAGACGTTAAGAAGTCTGTTCTCAGACTTGCTCCTCATGAGGGGAGTAAAAGTAGGGGATGTAGAAAATATAAAGTGTGGGTCAAGGAGAATGTGCGTGGCCCTCAGATCTTGACAAAATGAGGCTGTACATAAAAAGGAGAGGAAGGTTTCACAAAAGTTCAATGATTCCAGGGAAATGTTACCCGGGTGACTTCTCAAGATAATGGCCAACTGTAGAGCCAGATCACGGTCTTCAGCGTGCTGAAGACCCACCCGTTTCTTACCTTTGCGGCATTTGAGAGTTGCGAGCAGGCATCTCTAATAAGGACAAGTCTTAGGGGGTTGGGTTAAAGTTGAGCTGGCTCCAAAACAGGATTAATGCATGTCTTAACCCAAGATAACCTTCTAATTTTAAATACACCCCACAGGGCTATACCACATACCCATTCCAACTCCAAAAAACTGAAAACCCACATTCACATCAAGAGGAGATATTGGGGGCATTGTACAAAGCAATGTGTACCCTGAGAGACAGAAGATGAATTAAGATACATAGATTCCCTAAGCTCTTCTATGCCAGAAAACTTCTGACTTGACAGTCAAGTATTTAGCTCAAGAACTCAAGGTGAAAGTCAGCTTCATGGAGGCAGGCAGCCCTCCTAACTGAACTGTAGGGGTGTGGGGTCTGACCTGAGGAAAACTGGCACTTACATCAGAAGTTTGTGATCTTTCTTGGAGCTGAGATCTACACTGGCCTCTGCTTTGGCTCTATCCATTTTGATTAGAGCTATAAATACCCTCAGGGCTCAGTGCCTTAACTCCCTGCACAGGAAGAGAACTGGAGATGTAGAGAGTAAGTCTGTTTCCCCCCCTTTCTAAGTCTGCTTGTGTCCTTGGAATGTCATTCCACTAAGGACATTTCCACAAGGTTGTAAAGACCCAGGCCGATCTATCTAATGAGACAAGTGGGTGGGTGGAAGTAAATTGAACAGTGGGGAAAGAAGAAATATTAGTACTGTGAAAACAAGGTACAATTCCAACACCTCAAAACTCTCAGCAGTTAAAAAAAGGTAAGATATAACGATCCTCAAGAATAACACATGCCAGCCTTGAAGCTTTTGCTCTGTGAAGGATACAGCCTCATAGGCCTAGGCGGCCTTTGCCCTAATTTACTCCAAAGGGGATGTTTATTTGGTTAGTAGGAAATGTTCATCAAGTGAACTTTTTGGAGACAGCTGCAGATACATGAATAAAGGTGAAACTCGCATTAAAAACCTTATATTTAAAAAAAAGGTAATTTTGAGATTAACTTCATTTACACTGTGGACAATTATTGTTAATTCCTGAAATTTCCCCACAGATAAGATCTTTTATCCTACCACCTCGTTCCATATCCAAGTAGTACCCCCTTTCCCAGCAGAGTTCTTTGATAGTAAATAATAAAAGAGCCCTCGTTTTAAGACAGCTCTCCAAAGACCAAACCAGAAAAGATGCTGAAGGAAAGGTTAAATTCAACAAAATGGTAAAAAGGGGTGCACTGTTCAACACTTTCAGGACCACTCTTTGATTAAACTGAGTTTTTCTTTTCAGAAAGTACCTATAAAAAGTAAAAGACCACATTTGAAGGGGAGGGAGAAATATGAAAATGGTGAAAGGCCATGCTGTGAAAAAGGTACTTAGTTTATAATACCTGCAGTGTTCTCCGCCGGGGCCGTGTCCAGAGAGGCACAAGACACTCACCTCACCAAATGGCAATGACAGCAGCTGAAAAGGGTGGGGTGGGGTGCTGGACTGGGACTACCCTCACTCCTAAGTGGGTCCCTCTACCTTCCTGGCACTCATGGAGAACACTGCTGTTACAAACAGACCAAAACAAGGAGCTTCAAATGCAAGACTTACAGAGTAAAAACTGACGGGTTACGTCAAAGTCACGAAAGTACACCTGACCGTACCTCATCTCAAAAGAACAAGACTTTAAGGTCTCAACTTATAACATGTAAAATGTTGCTCAGAATAAATCGTATCAATCTAACAACGTATTTGGATGCAGAACGTGTATTTACCTATATACGCTCTCTCTTGCTCCCTCGTCAGTCCGGGGGGGATGACCGTAGGCATTCCCGGAATCACCGTCTTCTGTTCCATTGTATCCTGGTTCCAGCGGCTCCTCTTCCGCTTCTTACTTGGGAAGTCTGAAGGCAGATAAAGTCCATCAAATGCAAATATAAACCAGCAAACTAATTACCAACAGGCAGTTCAGGATACTTATGATACTAGACACGACCTCGGCAGACTGGGAAACTGAGAACTCGACCTAAAATGTATATGGCAAAAAAATGAACACACACCCGAGAATTCAGAGACACACGGCCACCACAAGGGTACCTGGCTCTGGATACGAAAAGGTAACATTTCACATTTATAATACGTATCCAAAAAAACCGTGAAGTATGTAAACAAGCAAACACATCTTTCAGATATGCGACATCAACCATGAGTGTTTTAAAAGCCCCAGGGGAGACAAGGTATACTGAATAATCATACCTTGGTAAAGCAAGATTGGGGAAACTGCTGATTCTTCTCACCTCCACTCCCCACCAGTCACCTTTCTAAATGGGCCGAACACAACCAAACCTAGAATTTACTAAATGAAAAAGCCCAGTTCTTCAACAAGATCACTTTTTTCTTCAGAAATTTAGCCAAGATAAGGATTCAATTTTCCTGGCCAACTAGACACTTAACATCTGAACTCCTAGAGGGTGTATCAAAGTCCGACAAAAAAAAAAAAAGCTATACAACAGCAGCCAAATCCTCCTCCTCTGATACAAAGGTATAAACTCCATACACATTGGTACACGTAAGTCAGTTCTACTTCCCAGGGGAAAGCCCCAATAACTAAGGGGAGGCATACCAGACTTCTCTAAGATAAATGGAGATTAGGAAAAAATTCCTTCCTCCCAGACCCAACCACAGTCTAAAAATTTTCGACCTCTTCTTTCACTGTAGTGAAAACCTCGCCCTACTATAGAAAGAAAAACTACTCTTGCTCCTTTTCTGCCTTTTGAACTTCTCTAGAACCAGGAAGGAGGGGCTCCACATTATCAGCTGACCCTTTCATGCCCTCCTGACATGCACACCCAATACCCCGTCCACCAAATCAACCTACTCGACACCGCTCTCCTATACCAGGGTCTAGAATACGACAGACACACCCCCCCCCGCCCCCGACCAGATTATAGTCGGGCCACAAAGCCCGGCCGCCACACTGCGCCTGCGCACAGCAACCCTCCGCTCTCCCCCCCCCCTTCCAGCGCGCGTGCGCACTCGGGGCCCGAGAACCGGGCCGCGCGCCCCGTGGCGCCTCCGCCCGGGGCCTCCCCGTGCGCGCGCGCGCCCCTGCCGCGTGCAGCCTCCGTCGCCGCCGCCGCGCGCCCCTCAGGCGGCCGGGCCCGTCCGCGCGACGCCTCTCGCGCTCTCTCGGCCCGACTCACCTCCTCCGCCGCCGGCCGGGCCCGGCTGCTGGTCCTGACGGGGCGGTTGGGGTGGCGGCGGCTGCGGCGGCGACACGCGCTGGTAGAGCGGCGGCGGAGGGGGAGGCTGCGGCGGCGGGTACGAGGAGCCCGGGGAGGGCGGCGGCGGCGGCGGCTGCTGGGGAGGCGGGGGCGGCGGCGGTGGCGGCGGCGGCAGCGCCGCGAAGGGGAAGGCCGCGGTCAGGGCCCCCACCGAGCCCACGGGCGGGGGCGGCGGCGGCCCGGGCACCAGGAGCCCCGCCCCAGGCCCGGGAGCAGGCGGTGGCCCCGGCTCGAAGCCCCCTTTGGGCCCGGAAAGGGGGGGAAGGCCGGGGGGGCCCAGCTTACCCAGCGGCGTGGCGTTCGCTCCGGTCGCCATGGCGCCCCCGGGGACCGGCACCGGCGGCTCCTTTTAGGCGGCGGTGGCGGCTTCCTTTCCACGAACCTTCCGGGGGGAGGGGACCCGACTGCGCTGCCGCGGAGCGCGTCCTCTCACGCGGCGGGCGGCGGCGGCGCGAGACGCACAAAGAGGGAGGAGAGAGGGCGCCGCGGGGGCGGGCCGGGGGCGACGGGTCCGAGGCCTGGATTGGGCCGAGCCGAGGCAAGGGGGTCGAAATCGGCGGCCTCCAATTGGTGGAGCCTTAGCCCTCCTCGATGCACGCTGGGATTGGCCGGACCGTTAGGCCAGGCGAAGAAATGGCGGCCGAGCCTGGCGAGCTGGGAGGTGTCGCAGCGCGCACTTCATTTGTTACTGCGCGAGCTGAGCTCGGAGTCCAGAAAGGAGGGGAGAGGGTGGGGTAAACTCTGTGACGTAGGGGCAAAGGGCTTTCTCATTGGTTGAAGTTGGTTGAGTCAATCATTCTCAGTTGCGTCGTAGTGTCGTGGGATTGGCTGTCGCTTGTTCGATTCTTTTTCTACTCCCCTCCCACGGGGAGCAGCTTCGCTGGGATTAAGCGAGAGGTCGCGGCTGTACCCCGGCTGAACGAGATTTGCCGCCGGGGAGGAGTGGAGCAGGCGCGCGCATGCGTAGACGGGGCAAAGCTATCTCTCCGCCCTACGCTTCAGGGTCGACCCCGGGGTCCGGCGCGGAAGCCCTAAGTGACGTCAATTCTCGATTCCCATGGTAACCCGGAACCGAGGGACGGGGAAGGGGCCGGCGCGCGCCCGTAAACCGGATCCGTTGACGCGCCTCAGGTAAAAAGGGACTTCCTGTTTTCTTAAAAAAAAAAAAAAAAGAAAACGTATAAAATAGTCTTTTTGAAGGATCAAAGCAGTATCTGGGCGTATGGAAGAACACGTAATCTTAGGCGGAAAACAATATAAAGTCAATTCCAAGATTAATTTACAAACACATTGCATTTCCATTAGAATCTCAACTGGGTTGGGGGTCGATTACATCATCTTAAAATATAATTTTGAAAATAGTGGGGAAACTTGAAAACGAGGTTGAAGAGGAACTTGCTTTTCAGACAATAGGAACAGCACACAAGACAGGGTAACGAAACTGATTTTGTTGTAGGAAAGACAGATTAGTGCTACAGAATAGAGACTGGAAATAGATTGATTCCCCATATGTAAGTAGACTCAGTAAAGAAAAAATTTAGCTAACAGATTGTGTAGGGTCCTAAATTAAACAATAAAACAGACCTAGAATACAATACAGGCGACTACCACGGTCATCTAAAGGTAGAGACTTTTAGGGAAACAAAAACTCAGACCAATAAAAGATACAGTTGATCACCAAAGAAATTAAAACTGATGAAAGTCAACAAACAGTTACACATTAGGAAGATATACTTGCCATACATGATAAAGAGCTAATAAGCAAAGAAGTCTCAAAAACTAATTACAAAATAAGACAAAAACAATAGAAAATGAGCAAAGATTGTAATAGGCAAGTCTCAGAAGAGCAAATCCAAATAGCAAAAAAAAAAAAAAAAAAGGAAAAGGCACCAGTACCCACCCTCTGCAGGAAAATGCAAATTAAGGTGATAAGGAGGAATCTCTTTATATAACCATCAAAATAGCAAACAACCAATGTGCTAACACTACTGAGAATTTATTTTTTGGAAAGCATTCGTTATCTATTAAAATTGTACTCCTTTCAAGAAAAATTAAAAATAAGCCTTTTTAATGTATCAGTCCCACTCCTGGGAATCTGCCCCAAAACAAGGCGTGTGATTATATAATGTAACGTGTTCATGGTCTTCTACTGCATTTACTGCAGCACTGTCTGTAATAGTGAAAACCTGGAAACAAAGTGAGTTTCTTTTAATAAGTGAAGGGTTCAATAAACTGGAATCCCTAACCTATTTTAACAGGCAGACTTGAAAATCAGTTAATCCATACCAACTGATTTAGAGGGACGTCTGTGCTGTTACTAAATAAGAAAAGCAGAGATATATTACATGATCTTGTTTTTGTAAAACCCTGTATATGTGTGCATGTGCCTGTCCGCGTTTGATTACGCGAGGACAGAGAAAGCTATAGAAGGGTATACGCAGCATGTTATTAGTGAAGACGTTGGAGAGGAAAACAGGTTACCTGGAAATTGTTCCATACGTTTCAAGAACTCAACGTATTTTTAAAATATGCCTCATGGGGGGCGCCTGGGTGGCTCAGTTGGTTAAGCGTCTGCCTTCGGCTCAGGTCATGATCCCAGGGTCCTGGGATGGAGCCCCGCGTTGGGCTCCCTGCTCAGCGGGAAACCTGCTTCTCCCTCTCCCACTCCCCCGGCTTGTGTTCCCTCTCTCACCGTGTCTCTCTTTAAAAAAAATATATGCTTCTTGGGACACCTGGGTGGCTCAGTCATTAAGCGTCTGCCTTTGGCTCAGGTCATAGTCCCAGGGTCCTGGGATCGAGCCCCGCATCGGGCTCCCTGCTCCGCGGGAAGCCTGCTTTTCCCTCTCCCACTCCCCCTGCTTGTGTTCCCTCTCTCACTGTCAAATAAATAAAATCTTAAAAAAAAAAAAAAAAAAGACTTTAATAAAATCTTGGTGCACCTGGGTGGCTCAGTGGGTTACGTGTCCAACTCTTGATTTCGGCTCAGGTCATGATCTCAGGGCCATGTGATCAAACCCCCCCCCCCGCCCCCCTCCCCACTGGGCTCTGCTCTCAGCAGGGAGTCTGCTTGAGGCTTCTCTCTCCCTCTGCTCCTCCCCCTGCTTTACAAGTTTTTCACTCTCAATAAACAAATAAATAAAAATCTTAACTAATATTACACTATATGTTAACTAGAATTTAAGTTAAAAATTGGAAAAAAAACATTGCAATAAAAATAAACTGCTTCATTCTTTTTAAAAATTTATGACAATCCCATTTTTTAAACATATAACTATAAACATAAATGCATTGATAGGAAAACACCAAATTTCTTTTTTTTTTTTTTAAGATTTATTTATTTGAGAAAGAGTGAGCAGGGGGAGGACCAGAGGGGGAGAGAGAATCCTGAAGCAGACTCTCCACATAGTATGGAGCCCGACATGGGGGTCGATCCCAGGACCCTGGGATCATGACCTGAGTGGAAATCAAGAGTCGGATGCTTAACCAACTACACCACCCTGGTGCCCCAGAAAAACCACCAAATTTCTAATGGTGGTGGGATCTCAGCTAATTTTCTACTTTTTTTCTCCTATTTCTATATGTTCTATATTCTACTTTAATTTTCTTATACTGAGAAAGTATTAATAAAAATGAAGCTAATATGGACAAGAAGAAAAAATATAAGCTGTGTAAATCCTCTGTTTGAAAATGAAAGAAAGTTAATTTCTTCGGTAAATACAAATTCTCTGGAGGAAGAGAGAAAAGAGTCATTCCATGTGTGAGCAGCTGTTGAGTGCAAGACAGGTTGGATACCAGAGTAAATGAAACACAGTTCCTACCTTCCAGAAAATCAGTCTAATAAAGGAGAAAGACAAATGCACAAATGAAAATGTACTTTTTTTTTAAGATTTTATTTATTGGATGCAGAGAGAGAGTGAGCACAAGTAGGGGGAGTGGCAGGCAGAGGCAGAGGGAGAAGCAGGCTCCCCACAGAGAAGGGGGAGCCCGATGTGGAACCGGGATCATCACCTGAGCCAAAGGCAGTCGCTTAACCAACTGAACCACCCAGGTGCCCTGAAAGTGTACTATTTTTTTTAAGATTATTTTTTTAAGTAATCTCTACAACCCTCATGGGCCTCAAACCTACAACCCCAAGGTCAAGAGTCGCATGCTCTACTGGCTAAGCCAGCATTATAATGATGCTCCTGGGGCGCCTGGGTGGCTCAGTTGTTCAGCGTCTGCCTTGGGCTCAGGTCATGAACCCAGGGTCCTGGGATCAAGCCCCGCATCAGGCTCCCTGCTCCGCGGGAAGCCTGCTTCTCCTTCTTCCACTCCCCCCTGCTTGTGTTCCCTCTCTTGCTGTGTCTCTCTCTGTCAAATAAAATCTTAAAAAATAATAATAATAATTATGATGCTACCATACTGATCTTGGTAAAGGCTACAACTCCGTCTGACGTCTGCTGGGCCAGTCCTTCTCACTGCCCTCTAGTCATTTCAGTTGCATTTCCTCTTTTATTTTTTTTTAAGATTTTAATTATTTAAGAGAGCGAGAGAGCACAAGGAGGGGGGAGGGGAAGAGAGAGAGGGAGAAACAGACTCTCCCACTGAGCAGGGAGCCTGATGTGGGGCTTGATCCCAGGACCCTGGGATCATTACTTGAACCAAAGGCAGACGCTCAACACCTGAGCCACCCAGGCGCCCTGTGATCAATTTTTATGTGTTCCAAGGGCAAATTTAAGAGCTAAGAGTTTAGATGTTGGCTACTCCAGGCACTGTTTTGGGTTTTCTACATAGAGTAGTAGTTTATTTCATCTTCACAACCACCTTCGGAGATGGTTATTATCTCTAATTTATAGATGAGAAAACAGGCACCGAGAGGTTAAGTCAACCAGCCCAAGGTCGCACAGTCTACCAGTATAGTCTACCAGTCCAAGACTCCTGTTTGGTCAGAACGGGATTGGAATACCGTCCACGCCACTTTCTGGCCGAGGACCATCAGGCTAACTCTTCCCAGTTTTGAGGCAAGTTGGAGCCTTACAGACCCAGGCCAGCCATCCACCAGCTGGCAACTAGGGAAGTAATTTAATCTCTCCATGCCTTAGTTTCTTTGTCTGCAGAGTGCAGACATTGACACTACCCTTACAGGGTACTGTGCTCCTTCACTGAGATCAGAGAGCACTGTTGGTTTGAATAGGATACCTCTTGAGTTGCAGGGGCAAGAACTACACACAGATTTCAGACACAGATGCCTCCAGATTTTCTACAAGGCTGCAGTACAATAAAAAAATAATATATATTGCTTTGTCCCAAGATCCTGGCACAGAGCTTCAAATACCTTTAGGATTTCCTGAGTGATAAGACACTCCTTCCTTGGGCGCCTGGGTGGCTCAGTCGGTTAAGTGTCTGCCTTCGGCTCAGGTCATGATCTCAGGGTCCTGGGATCGAGTCCTGCATCGGGCTCCCCGCTCAGCCAGGGAGTCTGCTTCTCACTCTGCCTCTGTCTGCCGCTCTGCCTACTTGTGCTCTCTCTGTCAAATAAAATCTTAGAAAAAAAAGACTGTCCTTCCTTATTCATAACAGGCCCCTTTGGACCATACCAGACTTTAAGCTAACAGGTGACACATTGCCATCTCCGAGAGCCCTGGGATAGCTTCAGGGTGCTGGCTGATCAGAAAAACCAGCCAACTTCCAGCCCCACTTCTGGGGAGGAGAAGGGAGCTGG